TATATATATATATATATATGAGACTGACCCTGCAGCAGCAGAGCTGGGTCCCGGTGGTGAGAGCTCCAGAGAGAGGCTGTTCACTTGCTCCCAGATGTTCTGCAGTCGTGTCTCCTCTTCCTGCTTCCTCTGGTCGTAGTTCCCCACCGGAGCCGGCTCGTCCGCCTGGAAACCCAAAGCAACAAATGACCACAAAGACCTCAACGTTAGAGACCAGAACGATACACAATACAGGGAGTTCCTAATCCACTGTTGTATGTTATCTATTATCTTATTAATAATGTACAGTACTGTGTTCACTTTGTCATATTCCTGATCACTGAGAGGATCACTTCTCTGCCAACAATAAACTAAAATCATCACTCTTTTAATAAACAACAACTGAATCCAAATGCTGTCTCCATTTGGAAAACATAGACTTGATTTGGGACCATAAATAAGTTCAATTCACAGGATAAAAACAGCTGATATAAGTCAAGCAATAGTAGAACAGACATGAATAAATATGACAATGAAGATATTAAATAATAACATAATAATCCACATGATGACAGACAGTAAAGCACTGATAATAACCTTCGTCAGCTTCATCAGGGTCCTTTGTGTCTTCTCTACCAACATCTGCAGTTCTTGACATCTGAAAAATCAGACCTCAAAGCATCACTGAAGAAAAAGAGACAATTAAAATAAAATAAATCATAAATGGCATTAAATCACTCTTCACCTCCGGAACGCTTCCTCAGTGGATCCATCCCGACTCTGCACCTCCTTCACCAGACGGTCCACCTGGATTACAACAAACACAGGAACAGACGGATAAAGAGTTGTGTATTTTATGTATTTAATACCGACACATGTCCCATTTATCCCACTAACATGTAATTTAACCAAAAGATTTTTCTGAGTTATTACAGAAAACATACCAGACTTGTGTATTCATGTATAAATATGTACTTCTAACTCACTGAGGGACTTTTGTCTTCTATATTGTCAAAATACAGAGGAACATCTACATTATCATTATTCATCAAAGACATCTGAAAAGAGCTTTAATCAGCAAAGATTTAAAACATTGTATTTAATGCTTCTCAACTTGTAAACAAACTTCTATGTAAATTGGTATTAGTGTCTCATCTTAAAACTCTGATGAACTATGCAATCTTTGTCTTTAACTTCGTTATGTATGACTATTCATATCTAATAATGGTAATATAATATATGTATTTAACAGTGTGTATACTTGATGTTTAATAAAAACACCATTCTTCATTTAAACATCTGGCCTTTTTAGTGTTTAATGTTGTAAGTCTACATCCAGACTGAGCTCTTCACTGAACAACCCATGAAGCATTTCTCTTAGTGTGTTATAGACGATTCGGCTTTCACAAAAATCAATTCTCTTTTACTTTTACCTGTGTTTACGTCACTCATCTTCAGTCATTTGTGCTAGCGCGAGGCACTTTTATCTTTAAAATAAGGCACAAAGAGTTCTTCATTCTGTTACTAACCTGTTTCTTTATCTCGTCCACGTCTCTGTGGACCAGCTGCAGAGCTCCTTTTCTTTTTGGTGGCATTGAAACGCTGTTTTACGGTATTAGCAGACTGCCTAGCTAACGTTAGCTGCTACTTAGCTGCTAGCTGACGCTACACTTCCACTGGTCGCTAGGCAACCGGGTTCCTCTTCAGGCTCGGCTAGGGTTAAACTATTGAAACTATAGATTTAATTAATTACTCTTTTAATAAATACACTCTGTATTTATTATAATACATGATAACATAACTAAACATGTGTTGTGTATGTGAGTTATTTTATTTTTATATATATTTATAGTTTAGTTCATTTTTAAGTAACCCGGATGTAGCTGCGGTTGGGAACACATTACCGCCACCTACTGGACCGGAGGACGCATCGACATGTTAGAAAGTCTATTTGGAAAAATAAAACAACACAGAAACCTCCTTTCTGCTTCTATAATTATGTCAATTTTCTCTGAATTCCCTTTTACTCCACCAGTACAGTTAACTGCCATGTCTCCCAACATTTAATAATAATAGTAATAATAATGGTAATAATAATAATAATATCTGCTTATATTGCCTATTTTCACTGCAAACACTTTATATTTGTCATGATACCTCTCCATAGAGGATTTTCTAATGTTAGTTTCATCCGGTGTTATGGTAAAAACGGTGACCGGAAACGGATTCTGAGTCAAGTCCCCAAAATGAAGGGTTTTTATTTATTGAACACACATTAAGAAAACACAAGATCTTACAGAGAATACAAACATGAGGCCAAAAACAATAAACAAATAAATGAAAACATAGAATAAAGGGAATATATAAAATTGTACATTGAAATATATGAATTAATTATCATCTCATAAAAACAGTAAAGATCAAAGAGGAGCGAGGAACTAAAACATAAAGTGGCATAAATCAAAACAATAAGGAACAAATCTTTCTACCAGAGTACTCAGGTTTAATTGATGATGAAAATATTTATAAATCATTTATAATCCAAATAAAGGAGGGCTTTCTATTTCTCCACTTGATACAATGAATATATTTATCCATACGATTAATCATATTAATAATATTAGAAATAGATGAGTTTAAACTATCCATATAAATCTGTAACATTACAAAAAAATCAACTGTTTTTCAATAAATTCTGCAACCGAGTAAACCTTTTGAAGAATTTATTATTATTATTAATTATTGTATTTGACCTTCAGGGCATTTAATAAATTCAAGATGTGGTTTATCCATAATAATGTTCATATAATAAATAGGTGAGGGGAAGGGAATCTCAAACAAAGTGCTCAAACTGCAGATTATTTTGGTTTATTCTCACTATTTGTTGCAGCTCTGCGGTTCCACATCTGGCCGGTGCACATGATTGTGTAAGGTCGTGCACGCTCAGTTGAGAGTTGTGTAAGGCCAAATCCCAATGTCCCCCCTTACGGACTCACGGACTTTGAGGCGCACTCCTGCGAAGTCCGTGAGGGTTCAGGGATGTCCCACTGTCAAATCATGGAGTGTTTGAGGGCTCTCTGGCAGACATTTTGAGCCCTTCATGAACCCTTTCCGTAAGGCAGCATGGTATGCTGACTTAGCCTAAGGGAATTACCCACAAATCATTGCAATGTGACGTTAAACACGGGGTAACCAGTGGACGCATGGAGACGTAAAAAAAAAAGGTAAACAAAGAGGACGTTCTCAGCCTCTCATATTACATTTACTCAGAAACATTAAGGGTTAAAGATGGAACCAAAAATAAACATGAAATCAGAAGATATTTATTTATTCATCAAATATTTGATTTTGTCATTGAAGCTGTTTTGACAAAAACGAGTAAATAGATGATATGAAGTTACCTCATCTTGTGAGGAAAGAGCCTGAAGACATTCAAATCAGGGAGTACAACGTATAAAATAAATACACACAATTGAACATCATATTTATTGTCGTTTTCATGGTAACGTGATATGTTGCAGCAAAGTGCTGTCCCGTTCATATTCACACCATCTCAAGCCCTCACAGCCTCTCACACTCACCCACTCACCAGGTGACGTCAGTAAGTCCTTGAGGGTTCAGGATTTGAGGGTTTAGGGGGGACATTGGGATTTGGCCTTAGTGTTCTCCTGAATCACCTCCAGAGGGCAGATTGTACATGTTGTGAAACGTGCTGCCTTCAGGTCCTCCTCGTTAGTTTCCAGGATTTAATTTTTAAAAAGTCAAAATAATAATTTCTAATCATATTTTCAACGTTGATATACATAAAAACAATAAAAGTGCTTACAATACATGTAAAAGTCACTTATCATTATAATTCCTTGCTACCTTTTCCCTGAAAAAACTAAAATGATGACGTTTTGTGTGGACGTGAAGGCATCACGTGCTACTCCTCTCCATCCGGCCTCCAGTCGGTGTTACGTCACTGAGTGTCATGGCGGCCCCCGTGGCGCTGATCCAAGGGGCCAGCAGAGGACTGGGGCTCCAGTTCTGCAAACATATCCTAAAACATAGAACCACCGCTGTCGTCATAGCGACATGCCGGAACCCGGAGCACGCGACCGAGCTGCGGGACCTGACCGAGCGACACCCGGGCAACAGACTGACGGTCCTCCGGCTGGACGTGAACCGGGAGGAGGACGTGCGCAGAGCCGCGGACCGGGTCAAGGAGAGCTTCGGTCGGCTGGACCTCATCGTCAACTCCTCGGCCGTGCTTCACCCGTCCGGTAAAGGAGAGACCAGCCTGAGGGACGTCACCGCTCAGGTAAACAACATGACGTCACGGTGCATTAAAGGGAGAGATGTTTGCATCGAGTCTGGTGTCATTTCTCTGCATTGAAGTAGGAATCATTTCCTCTACTGGTTCTTCCAGATACTCAATGTACTCATAGCTCAACATCCTTCATCCTGTGCCCCAGCTTCCATGATTAATCCACTGATTGACTCTTCTTTCAGGGCGTTATTTCCACTCTGACCACCAACACCGTGGGTCCTCTGGTCATGGCCAAGTATTTCGCCCCCCTCCTCCAGAAGGGTGGCGGTGGTTTCGGTCAACAGCCCGCAGAGAAAGCCAAGCAGCACAGCGGCATCATCGTCAACATCACCGCCAAAGTGGGATCCATCGGAGACAATGGTAGCTTGTTGTGTTGCAGGTTGTTACTCTCTGTGCTAACGAAGGGTTAGCGGCCGCAGCATGGTTGTGACTCATTGTGTTCCTCCTCTCAGGTCTGGGTGGTTGGTACAGCTACAGAATGTCTAAAGCAGCTCTCAACATGGCCACCAGGAACCTGTCCATAGAGCTGGGCCGCAGTCGACCCAAGGTAGGTTTGATGTAAGGTATTTAATATCAGAAATACGACAAACAAACACAACAACAGAGAGAGAGATATCTTGTGTGTGCTTCCTCCAGGTGGTGTGTGTGTCCTTACATCCGGGGACGGTGGACACGGACCTCTCGCGTCCGTATCACAGGAACGTACCGAAGGACAAGCTGTTTGCCGCCGAGCTCTCCGTGAGCCACCTGATGAGCATCGTGGACTCTCTGAACATGGAGAGGACCGGCAGGGCCTTCAACTGGGACGGGACCGAGCTCCCGTGGTAGAATGCAAGGAACAGAGAGAAGAGAAGAAGAGAGGCCGTGAACAAACAAAAGAACTACCTCAGTCAGAAGAACTACCTCACAGCCACCTCCAAGGTTTCTGTTGATGATGACACCATCGCCTTGTGAGGATTTGATGCTAATGATGTCATGTAGCACAGAGAGAGACTTTGTGCTTTGTGTTCTCATCCGACTCTCTCCCACAAAGTTATCTAAAGTTTAGTTTATTTTGCACAAACATAACAGAGATAAATAATATCAAGAGTGCAGGAGGAGAATATGATGTATAATAACAATACATTATCATAAAAAGAAAGAAACGGTGATCGTGTGTGTGTGTGTGTGTGTGTGTGATAAGATAAAAGGCTGTTAGACTGTAACAACTTCAAAGGGTTTTATTCAGTGGCGGCTGGTCAATAGAGGGCGCTAGGGCACAACAAATAAAATAAATAATATTAAACTATACAAATTGTCAATATTTGTGTTTTTGAAACATGGAATCACCCAGTAATATGTCCAACATATGATATCTGCGGTAGATATATGCTTTTCCTGCACGTCCTCTCCGCGTGCACGTCTCAGCAGCTCTGGGGGCTGGAGAAACTGCCCCAAAGAGGCGGGGCTATGAAGCAGTTTAGCCAATTGCTGATTAAAGATATAAATGTGTGACATACAATTTAGCCAATCAGCGCCCTTAAATAGATTATAGATTCAACCGAAGATGCGCGTTCCCGTCCGGACGAGTCTCTACAGGCGGGCGTCCTCCAAGGGTACATCCCAAGTCTCTTAATTGCATCCCCGTTTCCCTCACTTGGGTCCTTTCCTTGCGACGTCCTTTCCTCAGTTGCGTCACGTGAAGCGACGTCTGTTTCTGATGACGGTGCTGATGATCACAGCTGGATCAGCTGTCAGTCGACTTTAACAGCTGGAGAGACTTTTAAGAAGTTTGTGTCTGTTCACATGATCACTGTACTTAATAACATTATTTCTGCATTAATTACAAACTTTATCTGCAGTTTATGAGCTGAGTGTTGTTGTTGACCTTTGTTTCTTAACTGAGCGGTGCTTGTTTCCCAAAGCTCTGATATCTCTTCAATGATTACATCAGCAGAAAGAGCTGTTTAAAATAACAGTTTATTTTAATTTCCCTCAACGTCTCATTGTGGTCAAAATCCTTTATTATACACAGATGTGATACAGCAATTAAAATAATATACAAGTTTACAACAGTTAATTTATCATCAGTGAGAGAGACAGAGATGCTTTGGCAATACTGTTTCTAAACTTTCATGCCAATAAAGCAAATTGAATTGAAAATTTAATAGAGAGAGAGAGAGAGAGAGAGAGAGAGAGAGACACCGACCGACCGACCGACCGGGACCGGTCGGAGGAGGTAAACGGGTTCGGTCTGCAGGAGGTGGCGTGACGTAGCAGTGTACACACACACGCAGACTGCTGCTGCCAGAATCTCAATGTGGGGAAATGACCGCGAGTGACCTCAAAGGGAACATTGTATTTTAGCGGCTGCTCCTATTTTGTATTGTATTCCTCACTAACACACACTAGCACACAGGTGTGTTCATTTTTCACGGTTGTATTTTACGGTAAAACACTACGGGGGGGGAAGGAAACCGACACGGTCTAACGTTTTTAGCTGGTCGCGCGACTGTCAGTCCTCACTAGCTTTGGAAGCAGCGGGGCTAGCTAAAGTTAGCCGGCGGTTTGTCATTGGTTTTGCCCACTGCAGATGCTAAAAGCTAAGCTAGGCTAACCTCAGCCATGGATAAAGCAAAGTCAATGGCGGACAAGAAAGGAGCGTCTTCGGGACACTTTCACGTCATCAACGGGCAGAGCCAGAGGGGATTTCACGCTAACGGCTGCGGCTCGAGCGGACCAGAAGTAGCGGTGCATCACCTGCACGAGGACGCGGAGTGTAACGACTCCCCGGCCAAGAGGTGCCGGCTACGGCGGAGGACGGAGTCCGTGAGACGGAACAGAGTCCGTGAGTGTTATAACCGGTTTTTGTGTTGTGTGTGTGTGTGTGTCCTCCTTTCACTGCCTCTTTATTATCAACCGCCATTATCGTGTCGTGATTCGTCTCTTTTAGACAATATAGTCCTCCTTTTTTTCGATCAGATATCAAGCCGCTCGTGTGTCCGTGCTGATCCGCTAGTCGTCAGGGAGACCCCCTTTTTTGTTGTCATGGACGACCCCTCAGGTTTGCGTTTCTGCGCGCTGTGATTGGTCGGTTCCCCCAGTGGTGAGAAAGCTCCTGATAAGTGGGCCTGGCTTGCCTCGGCCAATCAACAGCCGCCTCCCCTGTCTTCGGGACCCGCCCCCTTTTTTTATTGACCGAGTATTTGTGATGATGGTGAGCAGCAGATCATCCGGGAGAAATCTTTGTAGATATTGTGCCTCACTATGAAGCTCGTAAGTGAAAAGAAACCTGGTAAGTGTTAGTTTTCAACTAACTTGTTAGTTGTTAATGTTTCATTGAGATTGTATTGTATACTTGTGTTTATTTCTTTAAGGGTGAGGTTAAAACTTTGTCCTAACTTTATCTTCATGGGTTAAAGTTTCAGTCAGGCAGAGACAGAGAGAGAGAGACAGATACAGACAGAGAGAGAGAGAGACAGATACACACAGAGAGAGAGAGACAGATACACACAGAGAGAGAGAGAGAGAGACACACAGAGAGAGAGAGAGACAGATACACAGACACACAGAGAGAGAGAGAGAGAGAGAGAGACACACAGAGAGAGAGACAGACAGAYASACAGACACACAGAGAGAGAGAGAGAGACATGCTGCTTTATGAGAGTGTTGCTCATACATTTCTAAATGCATAACCATGTGGTTATCTCGTGTAACTTCAGTTCAAAGCCACAGGGTTTGTTGTGGCTGTCAAATGTCTGCAGTCATGTCGTCAGCATTCCTTACATCTACACCTAATTAAATTAAGGAGAGACGGAGAGAAGGAAAGGACGGAGGAGGCGTCCTTTTAATGCGTTAATGCACCTGTGAGGAATCCTGCATATTGCAGCATTAATCACAATCAGAGCTGACCAATAATGAAATATGATCTTTTATTGTCCAGCCATGTGATCTAGTGATGACAGTGGTGTTAATTAAAATATAAGCCCCTATTTTTTTTAATATTTTCAAAAAGTGGTTGCCATCAATGGCAAACCCTTTCTGTCGAGTCCTGATGAAAGATGACGATTAGTTTTGCGATCAGTTGTTTGTTCTTTGATTTAAAAAACACTACCAGATAAAACCGAATCACAACGTGCTACAAACATACCAGAACTTCTTTTGGGTGTTGTTTACAGGATGTTCTCTACGGATTCTGTATCTGTGAGTAAGAGGAGATATGACATTCCTTTCATCAGTAATAATAATGATAGTCTGGACTGGTTAATTTAAGCCCGAGCGAGGACCATTTGGGGTTCGAGCGAGACCGTTTAGCGAAGAGCGTGTCGTAGAATGCACTTTTCAGAAACAAATATAATGAATGCTCCACACATATTATATACCAACTTAACATCACGTAAGCCATTTTACACACTGCAAACACAATTATACACAAACTAATATAATATCTAGAAGACGTACCACAATATCACGTATTTTTCGCCATGACTCGGCGAGCCACGCACTCCGTACAAAGCTGCTAACAAAAAGCTAACCTCTAACACGAACAACCGAGATAGCAAAAAGCACGAGCATTCGACACAGAATCCAGAGATATCTTCAGAATTTCTCTCTGTGAAACCAGTACAAATATACAGTCAACAAGCACCACAAAACCAAGCCGCTCCACCGCAGAACAAACCATAAATGCTTCGTACCTTGAGACGAATCATGAAGAAAAAGGATTCATATTCCGTTTTGCCGGCTAAAAACACTGTTGCTACGTATTTCCTGTGTTTTTTCAACTGTTTCCTGGTGAAAGGGGGGTCAGACGAGCCTGGGGGACCGTGGGGGAAGGGAATTCACTTTTGGCTAATCAGTTTTTACGCAGGGCGACGCACAGCGCGATTCTATTTTTTTCTGGCTAATGATTCTGTCAATCAAGCCCACGTTACCACCCCTGCATTCCTGAGACTCTGATGCGTCGAACAAGGTGTCATAGTCTCGAATTGACCAATCATAGGCTGTTATAGCCTCCACATACACACAGGCAGACGAGAATGGATGCATGGTTCACAGACACACACAGGGTTTAGAGAGGCCTCGGGGTCTCAAAATGATGCCAAGCTGCTGTATTTGGATAGATTGAACACTATTAGTGGTAAAACAAGTGAAATATATAGTTATATAGTATATAAAAGTACAATGGAACAGCTGCTTCCAAAATGACAAATCAGCTCGACCTCCCGTGACCTCTCTGTACTAAAACCTCTAACTTTTTTTTGCTTCACTTTATCAAAGCAAATATTTGCAGAGAGACTTCTGACATGTTGCGCTGTGATTGGGGAGAGTTTAGCTTTCACCTGCATCATTAAAAAAAGATATTCAAGCTTTCAATGTTGTTTTTTCAGGCGAAACTTTTCAATTTGAGCTGTGTGCCATCTTCATTCACTATTAACCAGTAACATATACACAATATTTACACATCTGAACACATCGCACAAGTGTTACCTGTATTATATCATCAAAATTATTAAAATAGACCTTGTAGTTACAGATTTACAGTCTTTTTAGTATGGGTATGCAATTTTCGAGCAGAGGCCTAAAAATAGGGCTAGGCTTTAGTAGGTTTTAATTCAGGACAACGTTCACCCAGTTTCAGCTGGTAACAACCGGAGCGTGTTCATTTAGTAACAGAATAACTCCCATTTAAAAAAAGATACAGGTTTGACAAAAAGGTCGAGTCAATGTTCTACTACTTCCTGTTGCAGCTGGATTGAGAACGAGGCGTGAAGTTTGGGTCGGGGGGGAATACCTGAAACTATCTACAACAGTTTAGTGTTTCTGTCCTCATGTTTGGTCTTTCTCTTCTATCACGTGTTTCTAGACAGAGTAGTAGTTTGTTTCACCAGATATATAAATATCATTCCCTAAAGATCCTAGTAGTAGAAGTAGTATCTGGAGGGCCAGTACTAGTAGTGGGTATTAATGTGATACAGCATCATATTGCAATAGTTTGATCTATAAAATGTGAGAAACATTTCCTAAAGCCCACTCTTTTCTTATCCAACAGTCTCAAATACAAAGATATTTAATTAAAAACTGAAGCAATAAGTTGATTAATTACTATTTTCTGAAATCTTTTATAGACCAGAAGATTTATGGATTCATTGTGAAAATATTTTGATAATTAATACAATTTAATACAGTTTATTCATGACATAAGACAAAGAAAATTCTCCCAGTGGGGAATCTGGAAGAAGGGAATAATTGGCATTTTTGCTTAAATAAATCAGTTAAAGGATTAATAGAAATGTCTAATTTTCTGGGTCTACTGCAGCAACTGTAGTATTAAAATACGCAGTAATAAAAGCAGTGATATCTATAGTACTGTGAGTAGTATTCTTGGCAGTGTCGTAGTCAGATTCAAATTGTTTTGATGAGTAGATATTATATCGACTGTATGCACACTGTGTCTTCTTGCCTTATCACACGAGCGTGCTGTGCAACAAGCGTTGTTCTTGTCTCTGTGAAACCTGAGACTGAAGGTAACATGTTTAATAGAAACGGTTGCTGTCCTCTAGTTGCATTAGTTAGTTACATTTCACATATTAGGATGGTCCAACCCGAAGTTTACACGTTTAAAGCATGTTTGTGCATATGCTTATTTACATTGGTCTCTTGTTGCTTCAATATGATAAGACAAGTCAAAGCACAACATTTAGCTTAAATACATTTAATTTTAGTTCATTTTAGGTTAATATTCATAGTTTACAACATTTGCATAAATGTACTCCATTGCCATTCTTGGCTACGGCTGTGGAGGAAAACGTGATTGTCACTTGAGGACGCCGTCATGTATCCTTGGCAGCGTTGCTTTATATTGTGTCACAGAAGAAGATCATATTTCTGTTTCTAGTGTCTCACGGTTCTGCCTCGGTGCTCGTTATTAATCATCTTTACTTCCTACGGCCTCAAGGGTGAAGCAGCCGACCTCAATAATGAATCCTGTTGTGGGAAACAAGTGTGTCTTGCATTATAAAAAGGTTTTCTCTCAAGTACACACATCGTGATAAAACATTAAGACAACAGAGAAAGAGAGTTGTTGGTTCCAGTAATGTGAAAACGTCTTGTCACGTCATTATCCCAATAAATGAAATGTTCTTGACATCGATCCGTGATGAAACCCTCTATCGTCGCATCCCTAAATGTATGTTTTACTGTTGTCACAAGATACAGTAGAGTACTTGAGTTCAACATCAATGTGTTGTTGAAGAAAATCTATTTACAAAGCTCAGTTCATGTTGACAGACATTAGAGCAGGTCAGTAGGTGAGAGGGGACTGTACCAAAAAGTCAACCAGACCACAAAGGAGGTGATGGGTGACCCCTGCTGAAGAGTAACAAAACACCATCCATAGTGAAGCAGCAGCAGGTGTAGAGGTAACAGCGGGTGTAGAGGTAACAGCGGGTGTAGAGGT